TCACGACTATTTAGCTGAACCAATAACTGTAGTAGAACATAGGAGTGATGATTTAGTGGAACTAAATATGAAAACTATAGAACTAAAAGCTGCAAGTAATAAAGCTACTAGTAAGTTTCAAGACAGCTATAGAATTATGTCTTACTCTGAAATTGAACAGCCTATTGATCAGCATGAAGTTGATTTTACAGTTTCAACTCTTTTAGCTTCTGATTTTGCAAAAACTAGATCTTTTGCCCCAAATTTCTCCTTTAAAAATTCATCTTATCCAGGAGATGGAAATAATGACATTTTGCCATATTCTTATCCAAATTTTACAAAGAGCAAAAAAGCTAAGAATGCAGACAAGTTTTTTGTGCTTACTTCTAAGGAAGCATATGAGTCACAGTTAAAGCAGAAGCAAAAACAAGCTCAAAATGAAAAGGAAAAAGAAATGCGTAAATTGAAAAGACTACAAAACTTAAAAATAAAGGAAGCAACGGTATTGTCAAAAGATAATCCTAGAAAAAAACCGTTGCTATAAAAATGAACCAATAAAAGTATAAAAAAGCAATGTGTAATTTGATCATGTTGTTATGAATTTTTGTTCTTAGTGTTTAAAAAAGTCTTTTATAGAGTTCACTGAATTCTTTTTTTTTTAATGTGAATATTATATTCTATGCAAATCTTTTAAAATAGTTTCAAAATCATTTTTGAATAGTTTTAAAATCATGTCCTGAAAACTCATTTTTTTAGATTTAGGCATCCTTACTAAGTTTATTTGTTGATGAATGCTTAGTATTAAGTTAAGCAATCATTTTCTAACTGATGTTTAAGATCACATCAAAAAAATTATTGGTTCAATATTTAGTAATTCAATTAATTTTAAAATATTTTAAATGCCAACCCATAAAAGTATTATAAAAAGCTTGTTATTTATATTGGCTGTAATTAGGTTCATTCCGCATACGCCTGGCTGAAATTTGGTCATAGTGGCTGTATTTTGGTCAAATTTATATACTTTTTGTAATCGTTGTTTTATCAAACATTTTTTATTTATAATAATTGCTGTAATTATATCCTAAACGCTGAAAGATTTATCTTTCTAGAAATGTATAATTTTCATATAGACCTCTTTGTGAATATGTAGAAACAATTTTGTAAAGATGCGGCTGGAATTTGGTCACTTTACCCTCGTTTCAAAGATTCTTTTAGTTCGGACCGTAGAGAAAACTTCACTTTTTAACAATTTTTTTTTTCGCTTTCTACATCGTTTTTATATCACGATTTATATCATTGTTATAATACCCACAACTAATTTTTTAACCACTCATTTGGCTTAAAATTATCTGGTTTTATTTCAATATTTATTTAGTCTTATTTCTATACTTATTAATATTTTACTTATCTCCTGATTTTCATATTATTACTGTTTACAGAAACTTTCATGTCATATTATCTTGCATTCATTACTCAGCTTTGTTTTACTTTTCACATGCACAATTTTTATCTTTATTATTATTCAGAGAATATTTTTATATCCTTCATTTAATGTTTACATGTCGCTTACATTTTTAAGGTTTTTGTGCAACGTTCTTTTTCGCTATCATATATTATTCTATTATTGATATGATTTTGGGTTTCGCGGGTTACTCATTTTCCTACACTTTTGATTGGTTATCATATTTCGAATGAGGTATCTATGACAGCGTTAGAGTTTATTTAAGGGTATTGTTTTGTTTATTAAAAAAAAAAATTTAATGAGGTATACTGCTTTCTGATTACCTTGGACTTGTTTATGCTAATAATACCTATATGGTTTTATTTCTTAAAATAAATTGATTAATATTTTTATGTTTCTATTAGAATTTTAATTTATTTTGATTTCATGTTTTCTTTTGGTGGTACGGTAAGTGTTTTATTTAGTTATTTTTATTTTTGTTTGTTCAGTAAATCTATACTTTTTATATCATATCATCAAAAAAAATATTGGTGCTTTACAAATTTGGGGGTGGTTGGGTTTTGGCTATTTGTAGTGAGTCCTTTTTTACTGCAGTATGGAATAGGCGGGGTAAAGCATAAGTGGCGATGACGTTTGTCTGACGGGATAAACTAGTTATAAATGCTGATCCTCATCGAAACGCCAGTAATAATAGACGCGACTCTGAGGAGATGTTTATTACTTATCACTACACTAATTATGTTTACACATTAGCATTAATGTTTTTTTTCCATTATTAGTCCTTTCATTGTTGTTAGCATATTTTTAATTTGTTGAATGGTTTTTTGTTTTACAAATTGTTGACTGGTTATGTATTTCTTGTATATTTTAGTTCATATTGGTATTTATAAAACAATTTTTTTTTTTTTTTTTTTTTTTTTTTTTATATATATATATATATATTTTTATTATTATTTGTTTTTATTTTTTTTATTGTTATTATGGTTGAGTACTGTTTTGGTTGTATAGCTTGTCTTATTTATTTTTAAATATTCCTCTATTAAACTTTATTTTTGTCTTGACAACTGTCAAAATATGCTTTGTCTAATAAATAATTCTCCTTTATTCTAATGTACTTCATTTCTTCCCTCAGGCGTTCACTGCTCGTGTATGACTATTCGGCGAATTTTATATGCCAAAGTTTTTAAATAATTTTGATTTTTTTGATTTTCTTGCTTTATAAACTACAGAACCATCTTTTAAACTTGATTTTTGAATCAAATAATTGATTTTATGTTTATTTAAAGTTTGATGGAATTATGCCTCTCTTCTTTAATATACAAATAGTTACCTCCCCAAAAAAACAAGTTTTTAAACAATCAAAACTTACTAAAAGACATAAACCAAACACTACTCTGTATTATCAAGACTAGATTGAAAGCTCCATTTTTTTTTTTTTTTTTATAATACTCGCAGATGATTCGATTGTTTATTACTAAAAATGGTGACATTAGAATCATTAGAACAAGTAACAATAAAATCCAAGAAAAGAAAAAACAATTAAAGATTGTGCAAAAGTATAAAAAAACAAAGGCTAGCATCGCATAAAACTTGAATACAACTGTAAAAGGTTGAAATGCTTCGAATTTGTTAAAAGAGAAGATAGAACTGTTTTATTAAGTTACTTTAACTAAAAAATTAATGATTTAGTTTACGAATTAATAAAAAAACGAATAGTCGTTATACAGGGGAAAAAACAGCAGGGTCTAAAATAAACTTTACTTAAAAAAGTCTAAAATGAAAGTTATTGCACGTGACCTGGAAATATAACTTTAATTGCAAAAAAATAAGGTTACTTTTGCAAAATACCTTAAAAGTTTACACTTTTTTCTAAAAATTAAAAGGTTACAGAATTAAGGTTTAATATTGAATTTTCTCAAAATGAAAAAATGACACCCTGCCATTTCTTTCCGTGGAGTCTTCACATAATTACAACAAGAATACAATAAATTACAAAAATTTAAATAAATAGATACAAGTAAGAATATAACAAAATTAATTTAAAATAAATAAAGTATAACAAAATTAACTAATTCAAACAAATACTGTTTAATTATATTTTAAAACAATTTATTGAAGTTATACTTTTTATATTTTCATTAAGAACTATGTTCCACAAAGGAGGTCCTCTATTTGAAATTAAGTAATCAGATGTATTAAGATTAGACTTTGGTATATTAAAGTTATGGAGCACTTTGTTAAGTATTTATGATTAATTTTAAGAAATCGGTTATTAAAGGATTTTGGAAGCATTTCATTTTGATATTTAAGCATGAATAACAAGTTTTGGAACACGTTTAACTCAGAGACATTAAGAGCTTTAATTTTTAATTGGAGCAGCATATTAATAACATCTTCATTCACTTATGTCTTTAACTGTATAATTTGTAGTTCTTCGCAATAAGTCCAAATTTGCTTATTGCATTTTGATTTAGGGGTTCATAGGAAAATAGAAACCATTCTGTGCTTGAGATTATTTTTATTTATAACAAAAAATTGTTATAAATTAAAATAATTTCTCCTTATAAAATCAACTCTGGTTAATACAATTTTTTTGAAATCACGAAACGCTTTAGCATTTTTTTAAAATTTAAATGTGTTTATAAGGTGCTCTCAGAAACCGTTGCGGTCTTATCACAGAGCATCGCTGAAAAGCATTTATCTTGGAAGTTTCGGCCTTCTTCCCTACTAATGTCACTTATTGGGCCGAAGTCGGGATCGATTCTAGAACGATAAGTTGTAATTCATAGTTCAATTTTTAATGCATGCTTCATTTAATAATATTAATTATTTTGATTATTTCACCTAAAAAGCATGTGTAATTTAACCTAATGTTTTTTAGATAAATTAATTTATAAATCCTATTTAAATAAATATTAAAATATTTTTCTTTTGATTTAAAGAATGTCTGCCCAAACCTAAACCCTCAGTCGGTGTATGTACACTCCACTGCGCCTATCAATATTTAAGTCAGTGGATGTATGTACACTCCACTGCGCCTATCACTATTTAAGTCAGTGGATTTATGTACCCGCCACTGCGACTACAGCTAAATCAGTCAATTTAAGTATGCACTTAAAACTTTGAAAAATAAAAATAAATAATTAACATAACTATAAATAGAGAAAAATAATAGTTAAAAAACATAAATTTACTTAGAAATAAAACATTAAAATTGAAAAAAAAAAATCTTCCTGAGGAGTATTTGAACCCGCAATCCTGTCAGAAAAACTTTGTGCTAAACTTTAAACTTACAATTTCTGCGTTATTGTTAAAAATTATCCTAGCTAATTTTTGTTTATTTTTCTTGGTTTACAGATCCTATTCCATTAAATTTTATACGGATTACATGTTTAATGCAGTAATCAAAATTTATTTTTATGATAAAAAACAGGAGTAAACCGGTTAACCAGTTTTACACTTTGTTTTTGAAATTTTCGATTTTTCGCCAAGCTCTAACAGCTAGTAATAACTCCTCAGGCACCAAAACTCCAAAATTTAAATCATAAATAAAAAACAATAATGTAACAAAATCTAACTGTCAAAATAAATCGATTACACAAAACAATAAAACTATAATGTAATAAAATACAACTGTCAAAACAAATCAATTACATAAACATCAAATTATTTTCTTTCAAAAACTATAAATCATAAAAAGTTATAAAAATACAACATAAATGTCAAAATAAATTTAGATACCGCAAAACAGTTACAAAAATAATGAAATATATAAAATAAATTTAACAATACTACCATGTGTATCAAAAAAAAATTAGAAATATACCATTTGTATAAAAAAAAAAATAGAAATGTTAACAATATTAACAACAACGACTACAAAAAAAATAACTTATCCATAAACAAACAATTATATATTTTAGTTTAATAAATGTAATTAACTGCTTGTGTTTACACGCGCGCATGTGTGTTTGTGCGTAAACTGATTGCTCGTATTTAATAAATCCTAATAACTGTACCCTATTTTTATAAATGTTTGTTTAAGTGATGCTAAATATATTTACAAATAAAAAAAAGTAATAAAATAAAACTAATTTAATTCCTGGTTTGCAGCATCCTCGTCCATCTTTCTCAGTAGATAAGATTTACATTCGTTTTCAAACTCGCTAACTTCATCTAGGTCTTTTTCTAACAACGTACGTTCTAAAAAAACATATATAGAAACATATAGATAAATATATTTTATATCAAAATATATTTGCCATGAAACGTGTATTTTTTTAGAAGTAAAAGGATAATGTTACGAAGTAAATAGGGGCAGATCCAGCATTTTTTTGTTTTTGAGATAGCTAATTTACAGACATAGAGCTAACTCCAAATGTTTATACTTATGTCAAATAAGTATTTGATATAAGTATAAAACGTGTAAACCCCTCAATTTGAGGGGTTACAAATGGTAATTTTGAACACTGAGAGATTATACTATAAAACTTGAAATTTATCGATGAATTTTTTTCGGTCTTATTAAGAAGATCTTTTAAAAACAAAAAATTCTTATAAGAAAAAAGTCTTATAAGAACAAAAAATGCTGGATCTTGAACCATTGGATAGTGCATATAGAAAAGCCTAGATGTCTAGTGTACGAGGGTTGTCCCAGAACTACCTAGCATAACAAAGAAAACACGAAAATTAAAAAAATAATAATAACCATGGCTTTAAGCCTTAACCTTTGAAAACTTAAATGTAAAATTTAATTTTTTTTTTTTTTTTTTTAAATTAGCGACCATTAATAGTGAACGTTTTCAGTAAATTTTTAATATGGAAAAAATTGGTCATCGTTATGTCATTCAATATTTTTATTTAAACGGTCTCAGTCCAACCAATATCAAAAGTGAACTACATTCTACTCTAGAGGAGTCTGCTCCCTCATTTGCAATTGTAAAATATGGGTTGCAGAGTTTAAAAGAGACCGTATGACCTGTCAAGATGAACCCCGCAAAGGTCAACCAAATGAGGTCACCACGCCAGAAATGGTTAAGAAAATCCATAAATCATACCAGACGACCGTCGATTGAAAGTGCGCAAGTTAGCTGATACAGCAGGCATATCAAAAAGTGCTGTACATCGCATATTGACTGAAAATTTGGACATTAAAAAGCTGTGCGAATGATGGGTGCCGCGTTTACTCACAATCGACCAAAAAAAAAACGTCAAGAGGATGTATCGCTGAATTATTTGGCGATACACCCTCTCGACAATTATTTGAAACATGGGTTCATCATTTCACTCCTGAAATAAAAGAGCAGTCAAAACAATGGACGAAAAGGTGGAGAATCGGCTCCGAAGAAGGCAAAAACAACTTCATCATCTGGAAAAGTTATGGCGTCAGTTTTTGGGATGCGCGTGGGATAATTTTTACTAATTATCTTCAAAAGACAAAAACTATCAACGGCGCATATTATGCAAACTTATTGCAGCGTTTGAGTGAAGAAATCAAAGGAAAATGTCCGCATTTCGCGAAGAAAGTGTTGTTTTGATAATGCACCAGTTCACACATCTGTTATTCCCATGGCTAAAATTAATGAATTAAAGTTTAAATTGCTTCCTCACGCACCCTATTCACCAGATTTAGCCCCATCAAATTATTTTATATTTCCAAACTTGAAAAAATGGCTAAGTGGGAGAAGTTTTTTTACAAATGAAGATGTAGAGTCTGGGGTTGATGGCTATTATGCAGAGTTTGATGGTTGTTACTATAAACAAGGTATCGAAGCAATTGAACATCGCTGGGAAAAGTGCATCGAGCTAAAAAGGGACTATGTTGAGAAGCAAAAATAAATTTTTTCAGAATTTTTGTGTTTTCTTTGTTAAGCTAGGTAATTCTGGGACAATCCTCGTATGTAGTCTAGTAAAATCGATGTTGGACAAGCATATACAGACAATGCTAATAAAGAAATAAGACAGCTGTCAGATGTTTTTGTTTTTGTCAGATTTGCCGGGCTAATTTGGCTTTGCAACTCATGAATCTTGCCCAGCCCAAATATGTGACTATTTTAGTCTATCGCAAAACAAAGGATAATAGCTAGATCTGACACTGAGATCCAAAGATGATACAGCTAAATTATATTATTCTCACAAGTAACAAGTAGGTCTGGTGAATATTGCAAAAAATAAAACTTAATCTAATTTTTTGATAAAAATAAAAGCAGATAAACAGTTGTTTAAAAGAACACAAATATTTTTAAGATATTGAAACAATTTGGTATCAACACTTTTTTGATTGATTAATTTTGCTTTTTTATGTTTGACATTTTTTGGTACTATATCATTATTTAAATTATTAGAAAAAGCTTGGCTTACAGATAATACTTGTCACCTTAAAATAAAATACTTCATGCCTACTAACAATCCGAAGTCATGATAAATGATTCCTATCACACACTCAACAATACACATCAAAAGCACTTGCCAGGAACACCACCCATGCGCAACATGGCACTGTTAAAGTCTGATATTTTAAGCTGTTGATAAAATCAAACTCTTAGATTGCTCCCTCTGGGAGCAATCTAAGAGTTTGAGAAACCTTACTTACAGCTGAACCTAGAACCATCAAACCAAAAGAACTATTAAACCAATCAAACCACCAAACCAAGTAAACCATCAAACCATCAAACCAAATAAGCCATCAAAACATCAAATCAAGTAAACCATCAAACCATCAAATCAAGTAAACCATCAAACCAAGGGAACCATCCATAAAACCAAGTGAACCATAAAACCAAGTGATCCATCAAACCATCAAACTAAGTGTTAAAGCTTATTAAGAGACAACAGAAAATGTTGCATGGTCGTTCCCAAAACAACATAAACACGACACAACAAAAATCTATATGAGTCAAGAAGACCCACTATTACTTATCCAAAGCAGAAAGTATACTTCATATTTACATCAACAATTTATTAGATGAAGAAAGGATGCAAGGCTGTTCAACAGAAATTTTCTGTTTACCGATAATGCCTTGAACAATAGAGTGACTATAAGCGCATAAAAGTAGAAACCATCGAAGTCTTACATTCTGTTTTAAATGACTTAGGAGTTTTCAATAATGCACAAATTATACAAAAAGAATGGAACTTAAAGGCAATAGTATGCAAGCTCGTTTTTGGTACTTGTCTTCTAAAGCATTATGGTTTCAGCTGATTCACATCTTGATTTGCAAATTAAATCAGTAATTTTAGATATTTTACTTCAGCATAAAGTGCCTGATTTAAATATTAAATAAAAAACTTGATTACAGAAGATTTGGTTTATTTATATGAAACTAGATTTGGTTGTTCATTAAGATTAAGCTATATACTATTTAAATAAAAGGCAACATAAAAGATCTTACTTTATCAAAACTCAAGTGTCACAAATGATTGTGTAGAAAGAAATATTGTAAAAATCCAGCAAAAAACTGTTAAGAATATGTTATACCCAAATTCTATATAAAGTTTTTACTTTTAGACTTTTGAGCTGAATTTTTTTTGTGAATGTCTAAAGGGACCTGAAACAGCTTTTCACATTGTGGTATTTTAAATTCAGAAAAAAGTTGAAAAATTCAAAAAAACTGTCACTTTATTGAACAGTCTTTTTTATAAATTCATGTTTGCTTGTTCACAAAAACCTTCATGATTGCTTGTTCACAAAACCTTCATGTTTGCTTGTTCACAAAAACCTTTATTTTTACTTGTTTACAAAACCTTCATGTTTACTTGTTCACAAAAACCTAATATTTTTGATTTTTTTATGCTTAAATTTAAAATATTTTTTTTTTAGTTTTTAGATGAAAAAAAAACTGACACTAAGTTGTCTACTTAAGGTCTGATTTTAAACAAATGAACCCATTTGGAAACCTTATCCAATCCATTACAAAAACTGTTGGATGAAAGATCGAAAGCTTGTCTGTTAAGATTGCCACTATTGTGTTATTGCATTTTTTTAAACTGTCCTTGTATCAAATATTGAATATTCTATTGAATAAGATATATTTGCACAGTCTTAAAACAAATTTTTTTCAGAATTTCTCTTTTTCAGCCTTAAAATGTTTTGCATTTGCGCAACATTTTTTTGACTTTATTTTTGTTTTTAGTAAACATCAGGAGAAACCATTCTGCTTCCATCACATCATAGAATCATTTGTTGTAACCATTAAATTTAATTTTTACAAAATTGCAAAACATTATAAACATAGTTAGACCTTTATTTATTTCTTTTTTCTAAAAATACAATTATAGTGATACATCACGTAATCTTGTAATAACTTGTTCTACCTACAGAAATTCTTCCACTTTATCCCTACCATTCAGTTTAGTCAAACTCTTTCTCAGTGATTGTTCCTGCATGTTCAAAAAATGTTTGTCTACATAATGAAAAACGTTTTTTCTCTGATATATGTAAAAAAAAAAATTTTTCTTTTAACATGCATCAGAGCTTTGGAAGTTTGGCCCTTGATATCCTGATTTATATAACTTACCATCTTTTTAATTCACACACTTTTCCTCAGTATTTCCCAATAATCTTCTAGTGTTTAAATAATACATTAATAAACTTTGATGCTATGACAGTGTTTGAGTTTTTCAACAATATATCATTTTTTAAAAATCTTCATTTTCTAAACAACTCACAACAAGTGTTTGAAAAAGTGTTTGCATGTAGCTAAAACTCAGGCAAATATTTCTATAAAAAAAAGTTGATAAAAAAAATGACACTATTGTCTATAGTTTCTCTACATGGAGATCTATATTTTTAAAATGTTAGAGGGAAAGCTAAAATAAAAAAACAAAGTAAACTTTCTTAAAAATATTTATACAAAAAAAAGTTATTGTATACTACTTTAAGCTTGTGCAAAACAATACAGGTAAAAAACAATTTTATTTTATATTTCTATTTTTTTTGTTTTTTTTTTTATTAAAAACATTAAAAAAAATTAGAAATAATAACTAAAACTAACAAATTTAAACAAATACTTACTTAATTCCTTCTCTGATTGTTGATAAGGCTTTCGACGAATCAAACTATTTAAATAATTTCCTAACATGTATAAATGACATAAAAGTATAAATGGAGGAATAAGTGGAGGTCGGTTAGCGTACTCCAAAACCAAATTAAAGCGCTCAAACTTCCAAATTGTATCAGCATTAGCTTGCACTTCTTCAAAAGTGTTGCTAAAATAATGTTAAAAATGTTTTTTTAATTCATGAATCACATGAATTAAAAAAACATTCAGGGTGTCAAATGTATTAAATTTTTAAAAGTGAAACCAGAGTACTTAAGCTAGAGAAAAAACTGAAACTTTAGAAATGAAATCACAAAATTCAATTTATTTGTAAAAATTTATAAGAATATCAAAAAAGATTCTATAAATATAATTAAAATTTATTAAGAAAAAATTATGTCAAGGCAAAAAAGTAAAGAATGCTACATGGCTTACAGCAGCATTCTCTACTTACCTTAGATTTATTAAGTTAAAGTTAATAATTGTGAAATGTTTATCATATTTTTAAAAAGAGATGCTTAAATTAGAAAACTACATGGGAAAGCGGAAAAGTATCGAAAAATAACTGATCAAAATAATGATTAGTATCGAAATATAACTGACCGAAATTCATTTTAATGATTTAGATCGAAAATGTGATTTTCAGATTAATATCGAAAAGTTTTTATATCAAAATATACAAATGCGGAACAATATCGAAAGCATTAAAAAGGAATAAAATCGAAAAATTATTTAACTGATTAACATCAAAATTGTATTTTTCTGATTAATATCGAAAAGTTTTTATATCAAATTTCACAAATGTAGAACAAAATCGAAAACAATAAAAAAGGAATAAGATCGAAAACTCATTTTAATGATTAACATCGAAAATGTGATTTCAATTTTATTTCATTTTTCATAGTTTAGATATAATTCCGGAAATTCCTGTTTCAATATTGTTCCTTTTTTTACAACTTCGATGTAATTTCGTTTTTTTGAATTTTTGATACTATTCCTTTTTTCACAATTTCGATATTATTCCGATAAGTCCCTTTTCAATATTTTTCTCTTTTGAGCTGTTTCGAGATTATTTTGATTTTCGGATTATCAATACTATTCCTTTTTTAACAATTTTGATATATTATCTTTTTCGATATTATTCCGAAAAGTCCCTTTTGATATTATTAATTCTCTTTTCGAGATTAATCAGTTTCGCTGTTTTCGATTACTGTTACTGCTACCCAACTACATATATATACTATTTCACAAAAAAAAAAAAATTTTTATTTTTTAATATCTTCGCTTTCAACAAGACTGCAAGCAACCACCATTAAAGTTCAACGTTACTGGAAGAGAAAAGATGAAGTTTATAGAGCAAGATAACAATTAACAGACAACTTAAAAGATTACAAATTATATGAATCAGAAAACCAAGATAAAGGAAGTGAATTCCAAAGACCTGATGTTCGAGGAAAAAAACTAGATGAATAAAAGTTTTTAATACACTTAAGAACAGTCACAGTAAAAAAATGAGACTTAATTAAATGATGAGTAACACAGAATGAATTTTAGTAGATGGCACAAGAGACGCTAGCTCTTTAGAGCAGTGCCCATTATAGTATTTGTAAAAAAGAGAAAGAGAAGCAACATTACAACAATTTGATAATTGTTGAAGGTTGGCTGCAAGAGCAGGTCCAACTATGTTTACAATGCATTTTTGCACTTTGTCTAAAAGAGAAAGGGCATCATTGGAAGATCCGCTCCAGATATGGCAATAGTATTCCATACAAGGATGGATTTGAGATTTATAGAAATTAAAGAATAGAAACTGAAGTAAGAAAGTGTCGAGCACAATAAAGAGATGCAGCCTTAGCAGATGCTAATTTTGAAAGAGATTTGATGTATGGTTTCCAAAAAAGATCGGAAGAGTTAATCCTAGAAGATGAAGAGCAGATGACATCAAATACATTACCATTCATAAAGATAGGAAGGTCTAGATTATTGCGATAACAATTAGCTGAAAAATATTGACTTTTCTCTGAGTTAAAGTTCACCAGCCACTGTAAGGCCCATGCGTAGCACGTGTTGTAGCAGAAGTTAGGTCTATTTCAAGCTCATATGCCCTTTCCAATCAGAGAGTGTTGGCTTCTTCTCATGGCTAGAATAAATGGTACTAATATCAGCAAACATTGCCAACTTAGATGTGAGAATAACTAAAATATAGTTAATGTAAATTAGAAAGAGTATAAGGTCAAGGATAGAACCTTGAGAAACCCCTGAAGTTACAGGAAATGAAGAAGAGTGATGTCCATCAAGGACAACTTTTATTCTACAATTGGAAAAAAAAGATTCAATAATCTTAGAGATGTTACCTGATACACCGTAAGAAGAAAGCTTATGGAGAAGACGATGAGAGATTAAGTGTTTGTTAATTAAAAATTCAAAAACCTTGCCTATAATAGGAAGAAGACTAATGGAACGGTAGTTAGACGAGTCAGATTGCTCACCAGAATTTTTGAAAACAGCGATAACAGATGCCGCTTTCCAGCAGGCTGAAAAACAAGACTCTGATAAACACTTGTTAAATAGTTTTTAAATAAGTACATTTGATATAAATATTTTTCTTTTTAAATTATTTATTGTTTTACTAATTTGTTATAAAATATAAATAAATTATTCATTAATTAGTTCAAAATAAAAAGTTATTTCAAAAGTTAGTTCAAAATTAAAACAAAAAAATTTTTAAAAATGAATGTTACAGAGACTTGGAAAATAAACATTAAATTAAACTTTTTTATTCGTTGTTAATTACGTACACAATTTCTAATTTTCTTTTACTTGTTTCAATTAACAATCATTAAAACAGACATTATTATAACAAAGTATGGAGTAAAGGCTGTTCTCCACAAGACAAAAAATTTTGATGCCTGGGGATTTTTTCCGCTGCATTATTTGCACTTTGGTAAAGAAGAGGTCCAGATCTTGTAAGAACTTGTCTTCAATCTAAACATTTTTTTAGATTATCTTTTAAATTTTTATAGGTTTTTTGTAGATTAAATAATAAATACAAAAAGTATATTAATACGGAAAATAGAAAGTACAAATGTATGTATATGTATATATGTATATATGTATATATATATATATATATATATATATATATATATATATATATATATATATATATATATATATATATATATATATATATATATATATATATATATATATATATATATATATATATATATATATATATATATATATATATATATATATATATATATATATATATATATATATATATATATATACACAGGGTCGACAACACAGGTTTTGAAGTGGGGGGGGGGCACACAATCATTAATTTGTGAAAAAAGTCTTCTCTATCAAGATTTTCCTAAAAAAAAAAGTTCTCTATATCAAGATTTTTCTTTGAAAAAAAAGGAAAAAAAAAAAGAATGTGGGGGCACATGCCCCCATTGCCCCCCCCCCATGTCGTCGGCCCCGATATAAATACACACACACACACATATATATATATATATATATATATATATATATATATTTATATATAGCGAAAAATATTACATGCCATGACACTTTTTGCCTAATAGAGAACAGCCTTAATTCAATGATCTAATTGCACATTATTATGCAAACAATGACACATTTTATTCAATTCAAATACTGTAGTTACATACTTTTCAAACTTATTTTTGATCTATTTCAGAAAATCAAAATATTATGACAATAATTAATCAAAAACAAAACATTCTGATCCAGTAAACACCTTTTCTTGCTTCTTACCCTCTTACCCTCTTACCCTCTTAAAGATTTTGGAAACTTGAAGCAACTTTTCTTCTCTATTCTCTTCTTGTTCTAGCAATAAAGATAGCCATTCTGTCTAACTTTGTATGGACAATACCTCGTAAGAGTTTTTTATTTTAGTGCAACAGAATCGGATAATAGAAAAAGCAAGTGCCTTGGACTTGCTTGTAACCATTTTAAAATGATGGATTTCAGTATTTAATTACTCTTGATTTCAGTAATCAAAACATTCTTCCTCGTTCTTCTTCATCTTGTTCTTTTTGTAGCTGAAAGAAGTATTCTTGTAGAAACAAAATTAGTTCAAAATTAGTTTCAGAAGCTGAGGAACTGGAAGGAAGTTCTGATTGTTAAAGCAATTACTTTTTAGTTTTTCCTTACATCTTTAGCACCCTTTTCTTTTTGCTTCAAATGTTTTTCTGCTCTTCATTTTTCGAGATGCCTGTTGGACCAAACACTTATCCATACCTCAAGACTGAAAGATCTTCTCACAGGAATACCAGAAACGCTTTATCTTTATGCATAACCTGCATACACATGTTTTTGAAACATTAAAAAATGTTTTTGAAAATTTCCTTTTTATTTCTGTATGCCTTGAAACTTTTTGTGTTTTTTTTTTTTTAAATGAGTTGTAAATTTTCATTTAAAGATTTTTATAATTTTTATATAACTTCAGCAAGTTTTTGGCAACATATCTGACTGTCATAACAGGATTAGACAGGAATGGAATATTATATACATAGAAATGGACACTATTCTTGATCACGTAGTATAAAATATTTTTTATGAAAAAACATCTAAACAACCTTGTTTTGACAATTTAGACATTTCAGAAATGCACTGAAAATGACTGTTTTAAATTAAGTTAGTAATATTGAATCTTTTTTAAAATTTTATATTGTGCGAACTCTTTTAAATAAAATAACAATTTACTTCTAATGATCGTTTAAAATAAATAGATTTAATTTAAATTACCAGAGAATATTGTGAAAAGATTATATAATACAAATTTTTTATTTATTTTTATAAGCATTTTTTTTTTATGATAAATGTAAATTTTTGAAAGTATTTTTATATTAAGTCTTTTAAACCAATAAGTTATAATTGTAAAAAATTGGGCATAGTCTGTTTCCTTATGTATAGTATGGTAATGTTAGGTTTTAAGGTAACTTCACTGAGAAAACTTTCTAGATTTTAAGTGAAGTTAAAAAAAAAAAAAAAAAATCAACATCCAGCTGTACCAGTTACTAATAATTGATCGTTACGTCACTTAAATCGCTATAGTCCTTATATAGATAAAATTATTTAAGTCAGTCTATGATTATTATTAGAAATAATTGTGTTCAATTTTAAATTATGGAAAAAAAATTATATTGATAAAATTTTTGTTAAATTAGAATGATTAATTGTTTTTTCATATATAAAAATCGTATTGTTTTTAAATATAAATAACTTGTGTGAGTTTTCATAAAATTACTCTTATTGTATGTTCTACAGATAAAAGTAGTTTAATATTTTTTCTATATATACGAATAAATAAATAAAGCATTTTATTTCTATATGAAAGTATTCCGGATTCATTCATTTCAGAGACCGCAAATACGTTAAAACTAATATTTAACACTATAAACTTTAGTAACCGCTTTTTTCTTCAGAACATAGTTGTAAAATAAAGAACATAATTGTAATAACACTTGAACATAGATGTAAAATCAAGAACATAACTATAAAATCCGTGTTTGTTGTAATTATAGCTTCTTTTTTTTTTAAAGATTTGACATAGAATGGATAATCTTAAAAATTGTATAAATTCAATTTGAACATCAATTTGATAAGACTGTAAAGACCTCTTGGGGCACTTAAAAAAAAAATTATTGAACCGTTGTTTTTGTAACGCTAATAAACACTTCCTCTTGTACTAACACTTGTACTTTATAAATAATTTTTCATCATTTCTCTATGGCTCAGGGTGTTCCATATAGCACAAATTTTTTTTGTGTGCAAAGATTTACAAATATTTATAATCTATCAATTTTTAAATTAATAGTTATTAAAATAACTATATATATATATCTATATATTTTAATAATACGACTAAATAATGGTACAGTTATATAGCCGTATTACTAAAATATAATATAAATTTTCTTTCAAAAACTTTGTTTATATAACATAAAATAAAATAATTCTTGAATATGCAATAACGCTAAAACAAAAATATATAAAAAATATACACATACATACATACATACATACATACATACATACATACATACATACATACATACATACATACATACATACATACATACATACATACATACATACATACATACATACATACATACATACATACATACATACATACATACATACATACATACATACATACATACATACATACATACATACATACATACATACATACATACATACATACATACATACATACATACATACATACATACATACATACATACATACATACATACATATATATATATATATATATATATATATATATATATATATATATATATATATATATATATATATATATTTCAAATAAATAACAATTTTTTTAAAACTTTCTAACAACATTTTTCATCAATATCAATTGACATCAGGTATGAAAAATTAGTTACAATTTCTGTAATACTTATAATAATAATATATATACTTTTTAAATTTTAACATTATTATTTTTTAAACAATAAAAAAGAAATCCTTTAAACAATATTTTAAAACAATAAATCCTTTAAACAAAAATTTTAAAACAATAAAATAGAAATTTGGTTACCATAAAAATGCGGTAAAATTTGTTTATTTTTAGGAATGAAAACATAAAACCTGCTTACCGCAGCATAATAAAACATACTTGCCGCAGTATGGTGCCATTTTTATTTCAAAGGAAATCCAATTATAATTCTTTGCTTTAGTATGTTGATTTAACTGGATAAGATCAGTTTTATATATATATATATATATATATATATATATATATATATATATATATATATATATATATATATATATATATATATATATATATATATATATATATATATATATATATATATATATATATATATTTAAAATATATACAAATGTGGGCCTTCAAATCAAGCATATTTGGCGAAATCCCGCATATATGGGCCTTTTTGAAAAAATCCCTCATGTTTTTTTTGGAGCCAACCTGCCTCTGCATCCAGCGGACAAATGGGGTGGTCAACGGTCAAGGACTGCCTGAAATGATCAAAACTGCTGTTTTGACCTCCCAAAATAAGTTCTTGTTGGTCAATGATGACTGGTTAAAAAATCTTAGTTTTAAAAAACATTTACAAGCAACCTGGATGTATTTCAAAAATAATAAATATTCATAATATATAAATTATTTTAGACTGAAATATTTTGAAAAATTGTTAAAAATAATTTTATTGATTATGATAAGCTATTTTTAATTCATTTCGCTGAAGCATATTTTATATGACATTACCCATATTTTTTTCACACATCTTTTGTTTCATTTCACGTTAAAATCAATGGTTGCCATTATATACTTGATTCAAGTTTTTATTTTATTCTAAACACATTGATTGCGCGCATATGAGCTATTATAAAATAATGTTATTTCAACTTGCTTTTAACTTGGAGCATTAGTTACTTAATGTTAAACTTTGTTTTGAATTTTTGTTAAAAAAAAAGCCATGATTTTATTTAAAATCAATTTATGTCGACATTAATACTTTTGTTGCAAAATATGATATTTTTATTTACAAAGCTTAATTAATATTATAAAAGCAAAATTTTTTTTATTGACTGGCAAATAAAAACAGTCGACTGTCAAATCTAGATGTTAGCCAGTCAAATTGACTGCCTACCTTTGACCATTAATATGCAAAACACTCAGTCATGAATAAAATGTTCAAATTTTTTTTATTATTTTCAGTCAATTTCTTATTAATGTCTTATAATTATAAAAAAACTTTTTAAAACAATAAAAATACTTACTTAAAAATTGCAATCAAAAGATTTAGGAGCAAAACATTTGCAACCAATAAGTAACATCCGAGAAGAACCCAAGCAATGGGTTCAGAATAATTATTTGTTTGAGGTGTTCCAAAACGTGTTTTATTAGCTTAAAATAAAAAATAACTTTATTAATTAACTTATTAACTCCATTTATCAACTTACAAAAATTAATTCTAAAAAAAAACTAACCATCTCCAGGATCTCGATCAACAAACAATTCACCATATATATTAAAATATGGATGAAAGAATGCATTTATAATCATATCAAACCCAGCATCTTGTGGTACTAATATCGATGCTGCAGAAATACCGTATGCCACAAGAAATACAAACAATATCAACATAAAGTTTACCATATCTTTAAACTAAAAAAGTAACACAAAAACTATTGAGAATTTGCAAATTTAACTTATGAAACCAAAACACGTTTTATTAAAAAAAAAAACTACCATTTTTGATATCATGATAACATAAGGACCCAATGCAATATCTACATAATAAACATTCAACAATCGTATCACCCACATCCCTGCATCTATGGCATACAAAACATGTGCAGCAGGTAATGTTGTTTGACTAAAACGAAGAGCAAGTGCAACATAAAAAACTATAAGTGCTGCTGCATCCAATCTATTCCAATAGCTTGACCACCAATTTAAAAATTTTTTTTTGGCTGTTAATGCTTCATCTTGTATAACCTATAATTAAACTAAACTATTTGAAATACAAATTTAGAAAAATAACTATTTTTTTCATTTTAATAATCTCAATAAACATTGTACTTGACGCAATTCTTCAATTGTCAATGAACCAATGTATACAACTAAAATCCATTCTGCTATTGATGGTTTAGTAGTGTCTTTTTTAAGCATTGCAACATATCCAAAAAAAACCAGAAATATCAAATAGCCAAACTATAATGGAAATACAACTGTAACTCAGAAAAATAATTTATCAAACTTCAATAACTCTAATAACTAAAAATAATCTTACTAAATTTGACATAAACTTTACAACAGGTGTATTAAAGTAAAACAGCCACATCTTTTTGAAGGGTGATAATTTCATTTCTGCTGGTGTCTCTTGTGGTGTTGTAATTGAATCATAAAACACTGAGTTGCTTTTCATTAATTTTGAAGTATCCCTAAAAACAAAAATTAATAATAAAAATCTGCTTATAATTTACAGTAGTAAATAGTTACATAACAGTAGTAAATAGTTACATAACAGTAGTAAATAGTTACATAACAGTAGTAAATAGTTACATAACAGTAGTAAATAGTTACATAACAGTAGTAAATAGTTACATAACAGTAGTAAATAGTTACATAACAGTAGTAAATAGTTACATAACAGTAGTAAATAGTTACATAACAGTAGTAAATAGTTACATAACAGTAGTAAGTATCAAAATCAATTATCAATGTAGCTGAAGTTTTTTAAAAAAAAAAAAACGGCTAAAAAAAATCTTAAATTGTCATTTTACTTCATTTTCTCTCATTTCAAAAATGCCCCTCTTTCATTATTACACTAATATAATTACAGCATTTATTACTTTTTGACCTACTAAAATTCTAAACTGCATTTAAATTATAACTTAAGATTAACCAAGAACCACGGTTTAAAATTTACTGACTTTGCCTTTGATTTTTTTCTTGTACTTTAACCTTTGCTACTTTTCTCCAGCAACTTTTTATTTATCGCTTTCACTACCATTTTGTACCAACTCTATTCTTTACTTCTATAAAACTCATTTATATAGTATGAGAAAAATATATTGCATAGCTTACAACTTTTCTACAAATAAATTGCATTGCTAATGTATAGTTACTGTTTAAACAAACTACTATCTCTTGTTTCAGATAATAAAATTTTTTAAGAGATTGCGCGTCTGTTATATTAGTACTTTTTTAGTATTTGTAGTTTAGTATTTGTGTATGAAAAAATTTAAACTGTGCATGAACCTTTTTCCAATTATCAATATTATTAATGTTATATTATTGTCGATATTATTAACATTATTCTTTTAATAAGTTACTATGCTTTAGCTATTTACATGGTATAAGCTCATTAATAACAAAACCAGCTATCTATTTTTGAATATAAGTGTAGCAATATGTATTAACCAATATTGTTAAATAACTATCAGCACTGGAAATAAAGACTTATCTATGATAGTCTACTTTTGAAAAAAAAAAAAATTTTGAATCTCCCAATATCGATTCTGGTCAATCAAATTTGATCAGCAAGAATTGTCTTGCAAATAGCAAAAAACTTTTGTATCAAAAAATTGCTCAATAAAAAATTTAAATACCTTCAAAAACAGAAAGTTAAAATTATTAAGTTAGCAACTTATTGTTTTTAATTATTGGAATAAAAATGGTAAGAGACCATTGGTTGAAAAAATGGCTTTGAGACCATAACAATAATTAGTTTAAAGCATAAAAAAAAGCGCTAAAATATTACTAAACAAGTAAAATGAAATTAAAAAGTTAATTAGTCGAATAAATGTTAATGAATTTTTATGGTTTGAATTTTTTTGAATGAAATTAATTTGAAATATTAACTATATATTTATTTATGAATTTGAAATATTAACTATATATTAAATATTAAATATATAATTAACATTTCTTTTAAAGTCCAAAGAATAAATATAGTGGTCATAAAAATTTAAGCAAAATACTATTTACATGTGCTTAAAAAGTTTGAGATCATTAAACGTCAAAGCAATTTTTCTTTTATCTGTTAAAATTGATTAATAAAAATATAAAATAATTATAATCATTAAATAAAGGCACATAAATTGCAACAGACAATTATTTCACTTAATAAGAAATTATTATTTGAATCACCTGCAAAGAAAGATAATTATCTTTTCATATTATTTTGAATTACCCAAAACAAATAATAGCTTTTAACAAAAAAGGTATTTTCATGTAATTAGCTCTTTTTAATTGCAACTTTCTTTTGTAAGGAAATGACTTGCTAGAAAAATAAGTTTTTTATAAGAAATCAGAACTACAAGTTAAGAAAAAAAGTTTTTCTTTTTTCTTAGCAGGTGTTTTAATTAAAAGTAAAGATATCATTTTTTTTAAGAAAAAAGTAAAACTTTACTTTGATCATAGCTGGTTGTTAAAAAAATCATATATTTAAGCAATTTAAAATAACATGCTAAAACAGCAAAAAAAGAGACAAAAGATTTATTAAGAATGAAAATAAAATATAAAAATAATGTATTTTATTGAAAGATTATTATTCAAAATAATTTTCTTAAATCAGCGTTAATATCAAGCTTTATAACAATATGACCCTATAAAATATATCATGACTTCATAAAGCCTAATGCATAAAATGTTACATTTAGAAAATTTAGCTGAAAATTACAAAAGTTAAATTTGATTGTCTAGAAAAAAAATTGGATCGCCTGCTTTTCAATATCTTTCATTTCTAAATGACTAAAGTCAGGTCAGGTTACCTTGCTACTGGTGACATCAAATCTTTATTTATGACAGTTGTAAGCTATGCAATTTCTTGGGCTATTAAATAGTGTACTGAGTACTATCTATGCTTTGAGTCATGTTCTAAAATGTTAAAAAATTTAAAAATGTACTAAAAACTATAAAACCAAAAAACCACTGTCATCACCAAGTTCGCTACACCTATCATTCACTATTATTTGTGGTCTTTGAAGTAACTTTTCTGCTGTTGAGTTTTATCTCTTGCAAATTTGACCAGACCTACTTGCTCTTTGTGAGACTAATTTGAGTTCAGCTGTCTCATCTTGTGATCTTAGTGTTGATGGTTATCTGCCTTTAATTCGTAAAGACTCCAATAGTCATATGCTTTGCCTGGGCATTTACATTTGTAAGAATTCACCCATTTATCGGGAAGCTAGGTTTGAATCCACAGACTACTCTTTTATGTGCTTTCATTCAGCACCACTTCACTCTATCACCTTTCTCTTTGTTCTACATCGCTCTCCTTCATCTCAAGACTGCACTCTTCTTGATGTTATTTCTGATTATTTTGACCAAACCATTTCTCTTTATGCATCAACCAACATCATTGTTGTTGGTGACTTTAATGCTCATCAAACTGAATGGCTTGGCTTTAGTCTCAGTGACTCTGCAGACATTAAGGCCCACAACTTTTGTCTTTCTCAATCTCTAACTCAAATAGTCAACTTTCCAACTCGCTTTCCAGAAAACCGGAATCATTTACCTTCTCTACTCAACCTATGTGTAATTTCTGATCCTATTCGATTCTCAGTTTCTCCACATTCACCCTTAGGTACTTTTGATCATGGTTGATCTCTCTAAAACCATTATCTTGTTCTTCTTCATCATCAGAATCCCCCTATCATCCTACCTCTTACAACTACCTTATAATTGATTGGAACTGTTTCCGTTTTGTTTTTTTTCGTGACGGCCCTAGGGTAGAAATCTTTCATCTTCCTGTTGACAAACTTGATTCTTACATAACTTCTTAGATTCAGGCTTTTATTCCTGCTTGACAATATCAACTCAGGCCTCACTCTTCTTCATGGTTTACCTCACATTATGCTGCTGCAATATCCAAGCAAAATCATTACTTCCATCTCTATCAACAAAACAATTCTCCAGATAACAGACATCTGTCCACTATTCTCAGGTCATGAAATCTTGTATTTCATCTCAAAAACTAGGCTCTCTGTTATTCAGGGTTTATGGCAGTTTTATATCCATTTTCCCTGAGTTTTCCCTGATTATCCATTTTCCCTGAGTTTTCCCTGATTATTCCCTGATTTTCACCCAATTTCAAGTAATTTTTCCCTGATTTCGGTGATAAAAAGTATATAATTTTCCTTGTTAATGTTGAAGGATATAATACTTTCACAACTTTTTTTATTCTTCTATTAGAAACATAAAATAAAGATTTTTTATAAAAGATGTTTTGAACAAAGTAAAGTTTTAACAAAATGTAAACTTTATATGAGATCTGATCTATATAAAATTATTTTACTATCTTTCTCATTTGATCTAAGACTTTATAATTGCCTGTTATTGAACTTACATTCTATATCTTTCTTGGGCTGATTTTATATTGATTATCATTTTGTTTGTAATTTCAATATTATGTGGCTGAAAATTATTTGATAGCATATGATCTTTAACTAAACGCCATGCAGTTATTGATTTTTCATTCAAATTTTGTTTGAGTACTGCGACATTTATACTAAAACCTCTTTCAACTGAAGCTTATCCATAACTCAGTGTCAAGCTTATCCATAACTCAGTTGGCATCAATTGTCAAAGTATTTTGACAATTGATGCCAACTTATTATATTTATTTAGATTGCACAAAATAGAAGTCGTCTAAACTATCACTATCTCTATTGAATTCATGAAAATAGTTTTGATAAACCCTTGATTCTCTAAAGAAATTTGTAAATTGATTTATAGCTTTATCAGAAAAGACTTGTGAAAGATATTTTAATAATCAAGCTTATCAAGTGGGTCAATAAAGATTTGTACTTCTCTGTGTTTTCTGGAGTCATTGTTATCAATCCATTAGAGTTAAAAACCTGAGAATTGCATACAATGATAGACCCTAATGGAGTTCACTCCATGAACTTTTCAATTAGTTGTACAAAGCAATCTTTTTGGAAACTTTAAACATCAGTAATTTTTTCTTTTAGGTTTTTTCATTAAATGTGACATTAGTCCAAGTTATAGGTTCATTTCAATCATGGATAGATAATTTTGGCACAGCAATGTTAAAAAAAGAAACTAACTTGTAGTTAAATAGCTTCGTTGTTTAACAATAGTGCTTGAAGTCTTGTGGTTTTATTTTTATAACATATTAATAATGATATAATAATAATAATGTTGTTTCTGTTAGCTTGTTTGAGGGTCCTTATCAATTCAAGTGGATTATAAAAATCACCTATCATTGTGAGCTTTTCAATTTAATTTCTGGAATATTTATTATATCTTTTCAATTTAATTTCTGGAATACTTATTATATCTTTCTTTTGATAAGAAGCTAATCTTGTTTCAGCTACAAATCCTAGTTTGATTTGATTTTCCTTAAGTAGATAATCTTTTTTGCGAAAATCAACTTTTGTTATAGATCAATTATCAATAACTTTGTGTTGCATAAACAAGCTCAGTATGGTCCACAACAGTCTTTCTAAGTCACTATTCATGAATGGAATCATTTGGCTTGTCAGTTTGGTATGACAACAAATATGGCTCTACTATGCTGGCAACAAAGTTGAAAACTTCAAATTTTGAACAAGTTTGTCTTTAACAGCTTTTTTGACAATTAAAAGGCATATTGATTTGGGTTGGTTTTAAGATGGTAACTTTTCCCAAAACTCAATTAACTTAAATATATTAGGCCAAATTTCAATGTCACAATCTGCAACAAATTTATTTATAACCCTCAAAAATTTGTTGCATCTGTGACTGTTTCATAACCTTGACGCCTAGACAGGCTGTTGTTAGAAATTTTTAACACCATGATGTTTCATGGTGTTGATTCGATAGCTGTTTTAGGTACCATGAATAACATGCAAGGAGCAACTTCCAATATTTATAAGCTGTGGCATCCCATTGTTCTTAATGTTCTTAATTTAGATCATCTAGAAATTTCAATTTGTAGAGGGTTCATGGAAACTTGAAACATTTTACTTTAATCAAATTTTGATAAGTATTCGTAAAATGAGTAAGAAAGTCAGAAGCTGCAGAATGACTGAGAAAAGCTGACATCCAATATCTTACTTTAACTTTGTTATTGACATCCTATTATCGAACGAATAGGTCCATCTGTCATGTTTTAGTTATGCCCTTCAAACTCTCATCAAAAGATATGATGTAACAATTTGATTTTGTGATTTCTTCTTGTAAGAGTGTCTTGAAGTATGGCGCCAGTCCATGGTTAACAATGTATGATATTTTTGAGGAACTCATGCTGAAATTTTCTGCTACCTTACTGTCAAGAAAGATCTTTTTAAAAGAGTTGTTTAAATTTGCACATGAATTATTAGAGTAGTAGAATTCTTATGCAGATTTCAGTGCTCAAATGATCTCAGCAATAGTTGATAAAGATGATTTAATTGAGAAACCAATAGTCGTTTAATTTTTGGTGGAAAATGTTGTATTTTTTTCTTCACATCTAAGCGGCTCAGCTCGCAACTCTTTTCCATTAACAAAGAAATAGCTAAGAAGATTGTAGTAGATTGATGCTTTTTACCTAAACATTTTTATAAATATGGTGTTGTAAACAATCTTTTTGAAAATAGGTCTTCTCTGAAGTCATATTTTATGTTATTATATTTAATTAAATATTTAATTAAACATATGGTTACTATATTTTATAAAAGTTATAAATCCACTGTAGTGAGCAACTTTCAATAAAAATAAAAACTTTAAATTTGTATGTTACAAAATAACTTCAAGTTATATATAAAACTAAAAACCATTCCCTGAGTTTTCCCTGATTTTTAGGATTTTCAAAAAAAGTTCCCTGATTTTTCCACATATTCCCGGATTTTTCACAATTTAAAAACTTTTCCCTGGTTTTCCAGGTTTTCCCTGAGTGCCGTGAACCCTGTTAATCCAACTCTCTTTTACGGTTCAGATTTTGTCAACTCTAAAGACAAAGCTGAATAACTTTTGATCAATATCATCTCTTGATTCTACAGTTGTATTCTACCTGATATTGCCGATAAACAAATTGACCCATTACTTGACATTCCTATTACTCTAGCTTCTGTATCTAAAGTGATTTCCTGCTTCAACTTTTCTACAGCTTGTGGTTCCGACAACATACCTGTTGAAGTCTTGCAGAAGTGTTCTCCAAAGCTGTCACTTATTTTTTCAAGACTATTTAACAAGTGCTTATCGGAGTCTTGTTTTCCAACGGGCTAGAAAGCAGCATCTGTTATCACTATTTTTAAAAAAGCTGGAGAGCAATTTGACGCGTCTAACTATCATCTCATTAGTCTACTTCCTATCATAAGCGCAGTTTTTGAATCTTTAATTAACAAACAATCTCTTATCTTGAATCTAATAACTTACTTTCTGATCATCAATACAGATTTTGATCTTTCTGTTCTACAGCTGATTTCCTAACAGAAAAAACCAATAGGTTTTATCGTACATTAGATAGAGGTAGAGAGGTTAAGAGGCTATTGCTCTTGACATTTTTAAAGCTTTGATAAAGTCTGGCATGCTGTTCTTCTCCATAAGCTTTTTTCTTACGGTGTATCTGGAAACATCTTTAAGATTATTGAATCCTTTCTTTCCAATTAAAGGGTAAAAGTTGTCCTCAATGGACAGCACTCTTCTTCATATTCTGTAAATTCAGGGGTTCCTAACGAATCTATCCTTAGCCCTATACTTTTTTTAATTTACATTAACAATCTTCTTGATACTCTCACATCAAAGATTGTTTGCTGATGATACTACCATTTATTCTTGTCTTGATAAGAAGCCAACACTCTCTGATTGCTTGGAGGAGGCATTTGACCCTGAAAAGGATCTCACTTCTGCTACAATATTGGGCTCACATTGGCTGGCGAAACTTAACTCAGATAAGACCCAATTTTTTTCAGCTAATCATTACCACAATAATTTAGATCTTCTTATATTTATGAACGGTACTCAATGAGTCATCTAGCCTTTATATTCTAGGATTAACTCTTACTTCCAATCTTTCTTGGAAACCATATATCAAATCAATTGCAAAACTAGCATCTGCTAGGGTTGCGTCTCTTTATCGTGCTCGCCACTTTTTTACTCCGGATTCTATTCTTTATTTTTACAAATCTCAAATCCGTCTTTGTATGAAATACTGTTGCCATATCTGGGGGGGATCTTCCAATTATGCCCTTTCTATTTTAGATAAAGTGCAAAAATGCAGTGTAAACATAGTTAGACTTGCTCTTGCAGCCAATCTCCAATCATTATCACAGCATTACAATGTTGCTTCTCTTTCTCTTATCTACAAATACTATAACAGACATTGCTCTAAGGAGCTAGCGTCTTTTGTGCCAGCTACTAAAATTCATTCTTGTGTTACTCATCATTTAATTAAGTCTCATCCTTTTACTGTGACTATTTCTAAGTGCTCCAAAAACTTGTCTAGCTTTTTTCCTCCAACATCAGGTCTTTGGAATTTGCTTCTTTCATCTTGCTTTCCTGATTATTATAACTTGCAATCTTTTAAGTTGTTTTTCAATTGTTATCTTGCTCTATAAACTTCTATCATCTTCTCATTTCCAGTGACTTCCAACTCTAATAGTGGTTACTTGCAGCCTTGTTGGAAGCGAAGATGTTGAAAAAAAAAATTTATTTTAAAAATTATTAAAATTTCAATTTTAATAAATGTTTCCAGTGCTGAACTATGAACCATAAAAACAGATTGTGAAACTCACAAGGTTTTTTCTTTTTTTATTACGTTCACATCCCTTAGACTATAGAAGTCCACTGCAGTCAAAAATTTTATTTTTTTTTTATTTTTTGAAAAGTTATTGTAACTCTTTTAACCCAGATCTTCCAAAAAGAAATTGCAGAGAAAAAAAGCTTATATATATATATAAGCTTTTTTATATAAAAAAAGTTATATATATATATATATATGTATATATTTAGATATATATATATATATATAAATATATATATATATATATATATATATATATAAATATATATATATACATATATATATATATATATATATATATATATATATATATATATATATATATATATATATACATATATATATATATATATATATATATATATATATATATATATATATATATATATATATATATATATATATATATATATATAAAAAGAGCACAATTTTATTTTTTTAAATAAACAAATTTATAAAGAAGTATTTAAAAATACCTACTTTTCAACTAAACTTGTTTCTTCGTTTTTAACAGCATCACTACTTTCATTTGTTAATGGTAAATTATAAACATCACTGTCTACTGATTCATAATCAGTGTTTTTGAATTTAAATGTGCAAATATAGGGAGGAAAAAAGAATGCTATCAAATAACTTAGACGAGAAATTTCTGAATCTTTAATAGGTCCATCCCAGACATCGTTTAAAATAGTCTGAACAGCATTGTGAGCAATAAAATATTTATGATCGCTCAATACAGCTAAAGTCAAACAAGTATGCGAGTTGAACTGGGATGAGCTGTTGGTAATAAGTTTTTCTGTTAATTCTTTGTTTGTTTTAAAACATTGATCTAACATATCTAAACAAAGTTGGCGAAACTTTCTAAAAAAAAAAAACAGACAAAACTTGAGAATATTTATGCATAAACTAATAGTTACATATTTAGCACAATATTTAATTATATTTTTTACCAAGTTATCATATTACATTGATGATCTTTACATTTTTTTTTTTTTTTACATTCTAAAACGAACGAAATTCTTTTTCAAAAGCTGCAAAATTCTTAAAATATTTAAGCAGGTTTAGCAATGTTTTTATCAATCCTGACTTAACTGAGGCTGAAAAGTATAATGCTAAATTATTAAGAGATGAGTACAAAAAACTATATTTAGGAAATGCACAACTTTTGATTGATTATTATGGTACATATTGAGTTGTTAAAATTATCAAGTAGCAATTAATTTTAAATAACTGGAAATCAAATTAAAATCAAAAAGTAAATCAAAAGTAACCCAATTTATCAAAAAAGCAAAAAGTTAAAAATGAAAAAATAAGTCAAAAAAATATAGCTAAACAAACAAATTAATTTCAATAACAATGCCAGCTTTTCTTTACAAAAAAATTCAAAAAAAAAATTTATTTTCGTCTTTTCAATGCAAGAAGCTTTGCCAATAAACATGAGTTTTTTGGCAAAGAAAAATGTCTCACAAACGCAGATTACTGCAAAACATGCAGTAATCTGCGTTTGTGAGACATTTTTCGATAATAAACCTTTTAACACTATTTTGTGTCCAAAAGATTACTCAATTTATTGCAAAGACCATATTAAAATTGGTGGAGGAGTAGCAATTTACTGTAGAAATTATATTAAGGTAGAACATGTACAGATTAAGCAAACATACTGATATTGATTACATCTGTGTTAATATGATTTTTAGACTTCAGAAACTCTGTCTTATAACTTACTATTGACCATCTTTTTATACAATAACATATGCTTATCTTAAATTTATGATTTCAATAATTTAAAATTTTTGCTACTCAGTGTCTCAGATTATTATTGTTGGTGACTTCAATTTACCTAAAATGAATTAGCCAAGCTATGTTTCACCAAACAAAACGTGTAATAATATATTTTTAAATTCATTAAAGAACTCACGCACAAAATGAATCTTATTGATCTTGTATTTTTTAATAACATGTCTCTTATAAGTGATATATCTGTCAAGTGACCTTTTAGCACTAGGGACCATAACACAGTCCAACTTTCTATAAATACAAACAAATTTAACCAGCATGAAAATAAATCAGAATCTTTATACAACATTCCTATTGTTGATGTTAAGCGTCTTGAGTTATACTTATCAAGAATAAATTGGGATTTCGAGTTTTCTTGTGCCTGTACTTTTAAAGACTACTGGAGCTTTTTCTAAGGCTTTTTGGTATTAATGAATTTGTACCTACGAGGCAAAAGAATTATAAGAAAAAATCTTTAACCACAAACCAAAAAATGGAAAAGATTGACAAATAATAAAAAACATTTATAAAAAATCAGCTTACAAACAGTATTGCCACGTATGGCGGAAGTGTTTTTACAGACGGTAGTGTGCTAGGACCAACTTTGTTCTTATCATTTATTAATGACTTATTATCAGCATTGTATATTTATTATCATAATTATTAACACTATATACTTATTATCTCTCAAATGTACAATAAAACTTTTATTTATATTATTTTGGTCAGATACTTGGTCATTGTAAATTGCCAGCAAGAAATGTTTTGTATACAGATTACCACTTAATCTAATGCATAGTATTAGTTTTATTTACAAATTAGGTGATTGTATTTTAGATTAATCACCTAACCCAAAGGATCTTGCAGTAACTATGGACTCACAAAATTACAAAAACCACGTTGCCAAAGTCATTCATGTAGCAAATACTAGAGCATACCTAATCTTAAAATGTTTTAAAACTTGCAATCCTAGTATATTAGTACGTGCATTTACCAAACATAAGAACAATTATTGAATATTGCTCTCCAGTTTGGTCATCACATCAAACTATGATAATTAAGTCTATTGAAAATATTCAAAAAAGATGCTTGGTTTGGATCCTCTGTAGCTCAGATGTTTAAAACATGATTTAGTTATATATCCCAAAATTATGCATAATTTGGTTTGCATAGATCAAAGTTTATTTTTTAAAAACACCTATAATTAATATACCCATGGTCATAATAAGAAGATTCAAAAGCAACGATATCATCTCGACATTTGCAAATATTGTTATTCTCAAAAAGTTGTAAATATCTGGAATAATCTTATATCAGAAGCTGTAAACGATAACATTTGTATGTTTAAAAATAAAATAAAATCTTGCAGTTTCGATAAACACTGCTTCTATAAAGTAAATGAATGAATCAAATCATGAATTTTTATATTATAAACTATACTTGTTTAACATGTACATTGTTTTTATATTATTTAAAGGCATACTGTCAGTGTCCATTTATTGGACCTGTATGTCCGTTAGAACATGAAATTTCGAACTTGCTCTTATAAATCTTTATCTCTTTTTTAAATATATCACTTAAAAATTCAATTCAACAATAAATCAACAAATACAGCAGTTATATCACTATGACAACAACACTTTTTTTTAGCAACAACAATATTATTATAGCAACTCTTTCACAATCAATATAACTAACACTGTGAACATTTAGCAAAAGGCAGATACATAATATTAAATAAAAAACTTCCTAAATAAAGTTTTTATCAAGTTTATGAAATACTTTTTGGATCTAGCCAGGAAGAGAAACTTTAGAATAAAACTTCTTTAATAGGTATGATTTTTATAAAACTTTTTTATAAGGGGTTTTGCTACAACCTAAAATGTACCAAGAGGTTCTTTCCTATTTTTTTTAAACAGGTGAAATTTTTGAAATTAGTATGAATGTAACAAAGGCAACATAAACATGTTTATCATTTAAAATTAAATATCATTTCTAAAGTTCTTAATTTGGGAAAGGTTGGACATGATTTGCAAACCTTGGAATTCTTTACTGGACACAAAACAACAAAAATACATTTGATTTTAAAATCACAAAAATCAAATCTATAATCCTTACACTTGATTTAAACCAATGACAACCGTAACGTCATCAGGAAGATCAAATTTGTTTGACATCTCTTCTAAATAACTGCTGATTGCAATGCCAAAAAAAGATTTTAATAAACTTTCCTCTTCGAAGCTCCATACATAGTAAGCCATTTCAAACATATTGGAGAGCAAAGCAAAAAAAAAAAGTTCTTTATATGGATACTGAAAACTACTCTGTCCTTTGTTTCCCTATAAAGAAATATAAAAATTTATTAGAAAAATAAATTTATTCACATAAAAAGTTTTTTATTAGAAAAATGTTAGCTTTAATTTTTTGTTTAAAATAACAAAAAAGTTTTATAAAGGAGGCGATATCAATTTTATACTGATTTTTATGATGCAAAAAAAAAAAAGCCGAAAAATTTATTTTTAAACACTTTTAAAAAGATTTGCATATTTGTAAAATTTTTCATCTCTCTTTACTATATAATGGTTTTAAAATGAAACCAAGTAGCATTTTAAAACCATAAAAGTGCTACTAGCGTGTGTATAGCAAATATTTAGTGGTACTATACTCTAGCACTATACTACTAAAAACCATTTAAAATAAAAACTAGTAACATTTTAAAACCATTAAAGTGCTGCATTAAACCCCATTTAAATACAAGTTTCATTTTAAAACTACATTTTACATTAACTAATTAATAATTTAATATAAATGCTACTTAAATAATTTGTTATAAATAATATTAGTAAAAATAACTTAATACAAACAACTTATAGTAAATGTTAAAACTTAATTATTTATTTTCATCTTTAAGATGTTTTGTTCACTTTTATTTTTATTAGTTTTGTTATCAATTTGATCTCTTTTTAACTAGCATTTTTTTTCTTGTAACTTTTAAAATATTTTTAAAAATTTTAATAGATTTTGAAACTTTTTTTGTGCATCATGTCATTTTTTGTTTTTAAAAGCAATTAAAACTTTATAAATTGGTTTTAGAACTTTCTTTTAAAAATATTTCATTTTAAAAGTCATAGATTTAAACTTTCTTTTTTCTTTAGCCATCTTTGGCCAAGTCAAATATAATTACAATAATAAAACAAGCTTAGAAAATAAAAGAGAGATAAAAGGTACAGAAAATAAATAAATTTGAGATTATAGGTGACATCATAACTTTTGTATAAGCCTATTTTCTGCTATAGTTTACTGTTTTCTTTTGATTTTTATATTTAAATAGCTTAAAAGTAGTTTACTTTCAAAACTGGAGCCTTTTTTTGGAACTTTCCATTCCTGGTAACCTGGTTCTTGTTTACCCTGGTTCCCAACCTCACACTATAACTTGAAAACAAAAAAACTAAAAAAAAAAGCCTGTACTAAAAAACAAATTAAGCACTGTGTTACCAGGGTCTCAGTAAAGATTGAACTCAGTATTTCTCACTTATAAAGCAAGTGTTCTACCACTATAAAACTAGTATAATCCACTTGTATAACTATTAATGTTATTAAAGAAATAGTTATTTAATAACAGTTACCATAACTGAACAAATGTTTTTTAAAAGAGCGGATTTGCTCAAACCTTTTTGAGCAAATCCGCCATTTTAAACAACACTAATTCAACTATAATATAGCTTGAGTTAAATAATTACAGTTAACAAAAACAACAAAAACAACAACAAAAACAACAACAGAAAAAACAACAACAACAACAAAAATATTTTTTTAATAAACATTATTTCTATAAAACTCCACTTCCTCCATAAAAGCAAAACATCAGGATCCATTATCTATGCAGCATTCCAACAGCAAACAATAGAGTTATTATGGTCAAACAATTATTAAAAAACTGCATTCTTTCTATTGAATTGACTAATGAAGAAGTTGGAAAAAAAAAAAAAAAATTTTAAGCTATTTGAAAAAAAAATCATTCGCAAAGAAAACCCTGGATCATTGGATTTTCAGACTTAAATGACCTGCTCATTCAGCCCATAACACAAAAGAATTAAGCTTCAAAGCAACAGCCAACAATATCAGATAAAATCAAGGCTTAGCTTAAAACTGCTTTGCTGAAACTAGGTGATGTCAGTTAGAGATATAGGTGATGTCAGTTAGATGCAAAACTGCATTTTCAAATATTAACTTTCTATTGAAATTTAGTTAAAAGTAAATTACTGTACATTATTACTAATTGTACAATTATATAATATTACCAATTGTACAATATTACAAATTGTAAATCTATTTTAAAAATTAGCTTTTTATTGAAATTGATTTTATTGTAAAAATGCCAAAAAAGTAATTTGGCGTTTATTCACGTTAACTTAAAACTTAAAACAATTTTTTTATAATTTATTAGCCATGTTTTGCTTCATGAAAATATTATAAATACCTCTATGAACTGATCAGTTTCTTGTCTCATGAATATTGAACAAGCTGCATTGACAATCTTTTTTACTTTGTTTAATGACAAAGAAATATTGTTAGGATCATATTTGTCATAACTACATAATGTTACCATTACATCTAAATAATCTCCACGGGCTGCTGTAAAGTTTTTCTTTGTAGTTAAATGATTAAGAACAGACAATGGCTTCTTGCAACGATAACCATACAGAAACTGAAGGACATCTGGGGAAAGTAAAGACTGGATACTGATTCCATAGTTAAGAAATAACTTAACAAATTCAACACGATCCATTGCTAAAGCCATGATCATAGCAGAATTTAAATCTTTTTCCTAAAATGATTTGAAACAAGGTAAAAATACTACATCAAATTTTTTAAATTGCTAATTTTTACTTAAAAAAGAACTAACTGAGGCATCAGTTGATGCAGATAAACAATCTTTTGCAAGATCAGATCGATCCCATAACAAAGTCAGCTTTAGCTGCTCAAATAATGGTAGTTGTCTACCTCCTGTAAGAAGTTTAAAAGACATGATTTTTTTAAATTAAAACATTGCCCCATCGAACTTTTATCAGAAAGATTTGTTTAACATTACAAAATAATTTGTAAAAGAATCTTTTATAAACAAATTAACACAACATACAGTACATTAAAAATACCTGTTAAAAGTGCTTTTAGAACTGCCTCATCAACACCACTTTTTTTTGACATTTCAAACAAGGTGATCTGAAAATTTATAAAATAAAAATAAAAAAAAGTAGAACAAAATATTACCAACTAAAGATTCAAATAAAATGTTTTTAAAAAGACAACTAAGTCTAACAAAAAGGCCTAAACTGCCATTTAATTATAAATCAAAAAAAATAAAAACTACAAATACTTTTATAACATATTTTCCTCACTTTAATTTTCAAATTGTTGACAACTTATATGTCAATAATTTGACACACTGGGTGGCCAAACTTTTTTTAAGTGAAAAAATTAGAAGAACTTATGAGATTTTTAAGGACTTTTAAAAATTTTAATAAAAAATTTTAAAGCTCAAGTTAATAATCGAAAGAAAACTTAATATTCAAAAAATAAGTTTAAATTAGGAGATTTTAAGAGTATTTTTGAAACTTAAGTTTTTTGAGAATTTAAGTTTTAATTTAAGTTTTAGGAAAATTTATTTAGAATTTATTAGGAGAAAGGGCAATTTATCTACTAGGCCACCGTTAGGAGGAAAAAAAGATATTTTATTAAATATTTTTAAAAAAATGTATTATATTTTATTAAATCTTTTTTTATAGACTATATTTTTGATAAAGAGAATAGTTACAAAGTTCAAAACAATATTGTGGCAAAAAAGTTCTGTGTTATAATCTTACTATGGATTCCGTGACTTAAGTTGGTTTTAATTAAGTTGGTTTTTTGACTGGCATTTAACAAAGTTTCTCACAAAAAATTACTTTAAAATTTTAAAATATGGATGATATGCAACTTAAAATCAAAAAATGTGCATTATTATCATGATGACATAAAATATAATAGCCATCTCAGATGACTAACTTAGAATACAATTGTCACAACGATTAGACCTAAAATATCAAAATCATCAAGCCTTTTCTGCTTAGTAGGGTGTAGGGTGTAGGGTGGTCCAAAAAACAACATTTTTGAGAAAAATCTACTCCACAATCCTAAATGTGTTCTATATAATACAAAAAAAATTATAAATCTAGTGTTTTTGTATTATATATAACACATTTAGGGTTGTGGAGCAGATTTTTTTCAAAAATGTTGTTTTTTGGACCCTACCACCCTACTGCTCAGCAGCAGTGATAACGAAAGATAAGCAAAATGTTAGGAACTAAACAATTTTAAGCTTTATACAATTTACGTATACTCGCATCTAGTAAATTGAACTTTTATATTGAATTTATAAAACAATTTTTTATATTAAAGTTAAATAGCATTGCATCACAAAAATGCTCCAAGAACTTAGGCTCTTTGACTTCAAACAAAACATACTAAATATGGCCTATCTTTACTGATGACAGAAAACTAAATGGTATTCTCATCCAAAATTTGAAGAAAAAAAATGAATTGATCAACTGTTACACTAACAAATCTAAGATCATTGCAAGCATTTTTATTTTTAATTGATAATAAATGCCAAGTTTGATATAACTTTTACAATAATTATGTCGAAAATACTTTTCAACACAATTGTTGAAGAATTGTCAATGTTTCTATTGGACAGTCTAGTATGAACAATTAAAAAAATTAGAACAGTAATTAAATTAGTTCCCTCAATTAGTGATTCAAGTGATTCACCTCAGTGATTCAAGTAATTCACTTCAGTGATTTGCCTTAGTGATTCAAAGAACTATTTTTTTTAAATGTCAGATTAAAGCTCCTAAACGTGTCCTATATAATAAAATAACTATTTTTAGACCTTTGAACATTTGATGTTTACCTACTTTTTATGATTTTTTTTTTCTACATAGTAGAAAAAAAGAATTGATGTGCAAGAAAAAAATTCTTATTTATATAGAAATATATAAATTTATATAAAAAAAACTATTCAAGAACAAAACTAGATTAAAAAAGGTTATTTGACCATGAAAAATTTGTTACAGAAAAAGGATGCAATTTTGTTGAATGACCAGTAGGTAGCAATGCCACTGGAGTATGTAGTTGTGTCATCAGTAAATAGAACCACTTTAGAGGTAACATCAGCAATATCATTAATATAGATAAGGAACAACACTGAACCCAAGATGAAATTTTGTGATACACAGATGAACCCCAGAAATCATCGGAAATGAAGGTAAGTGTGACCCTTCATGGACAACTCTAATACTGCATTTAGAGATTTCAGGGAATGATTTAATAGTTTTAAAATAAAGAGAGCATATGGAGTAAACCATAACATACCATAGCTTACTAGACTTTATCAAAAGCTTTGGTCAAGAACAAAGGGTTTGCCTCATTGCTTCCATCTAATGCAAGACAGAACATTTCTGTTATAAAGGTTAACAAGTTAGCATTAGAACAAGAAGATTAAAAATTGATTGTCAGAGAACAAGATGTTAAAGATGAAATTAAAAGTTTGTTAATTAATTATTCAAAGAACTTGCTAACATTAGTAAGAGGATTGATTGGAAAATAATGAGAAGAGTCAGAGAGTTCTCATGAATGTAAAATATCGAAGCTGCAGATGCTATTTTAAGCTGACAGGAAAACAAGATTCAGTTAAGCACTTGTTCCAAGATAAATTAGAGGAAATACATTTTGCAAATAGTTCTGCATTTGGAAAAGTAATAAGATCAGATAAATGTATGAGAGATATGTAAGACTTACTTTTGTTTTTGATAATGTTAAAGATTTTTAATGTCTCTAGAACCAAACTTGAAAAGTGATAATAAACATAAGATTTAGTAATCTAAAAATAACTGACCTCATATGTATGTATGTATGTATGTATGCATGTATGTATGTATGTATGTATGTATGTATGTATGTATGTATGTATGTATGTATGTATGTATGTATGTATGTATGTATGTATGTATGTATGTATGTATGAATGTATATTTGGAAGAAGTCTTTTCAAAAGTTTCCGAAACAACTGATCAAAAATCAACAAAGCTGTGTTTATGGTAGCCTGTGACAACCTCTTCAACACAATATAGCTTGTTAGACTCATGGAAGAGATGCTGAAAAACTTTGAAGTTGAAGCTATAGAGTCAGCAACCCAGAGATGACTATCCAAAACTTCTCAACCTATGTCTTATTTTCCTTGGAGGATCTGTAGATTCAACTAATTCATCAAAGGAAGATGACTATTTGTTTAAAGCTCCCAGAGCCATTCACAATGCACAGTGTGTGGAAAGGCAACATACTGCTTTAAGATTTACATGTTCCAACATCAAATCACACTTACTGTAGCCTAGAAGAAAGGAGTAACAAGTATACACTTCATTTTGGAATGAAGCTCTTCTTGCAGAACGAGCAACTTTAAATGATGCCAAGTTTCTTAATCAAACTCATCTCTACCCCAAATCGTGCCATTAGGGATGCTGCTGCAAAAGTATTCCATCATCAGTTGGTACTTTTTGGGACACTTGGTTCAACTGGCCTTCTTTGGTTCATGCATTGATGACATTGTCAAGAAGGAGATGTTTAAAAACCTACAACATAACCCAATGAAGAAGGTTCTTAAAAGACTAGATGGTGTAAAAATTAATCATTAAAGTCCTTTATATAATTTTATCACACATCACACAGTGTAGGGCTGTTCAGTATGCTAATTTGTTTTCAGAACATAGCTAATTGAAGTTTTTCCCATTCAACTATCATATTGTGGTTCAAAAATATTTTTTACTAAATTTTATTATTTGCCCTAAAGGTCCCTCAGAGCCACTAAACATTTGACAGGTCCCTAATTTTATTGAAAAAAAAATTATTTAAAAATATGTCAACTTGGTACTCAAAAGAAGCAAAATTTTATAAAAATTTTAAAAATAGGATTCATTTTTTATAAAAAACAACTTAAAAAAACTTATTAAAAATGTTGTGAATATTACCTTTTTTTCATTTTTCGTTTAAAAACCATAGTTTTTATTCAAAAAAACCTAATATTGTTTTTTTTTATAAAAAATACTTTTTGTTTTTAAAATTTTTAAATCATTTTGCTTCTTTTGAGTACCAAGTTGACATATTTTTAAATAATTTTTTTTTCAATAATATTAGGGACCTGTCAAATGTTTAGGGGCTTTGACGGACCTTCAGGGCAAATAATAAAATTTAGTAAAAAATATTTTTGAACCACAATATGATAGTTGAATGGGAAAAACTTCAATTAGCTATGTTCTGAAAACAAATTAGCATACTGAACAGCCCTAACACAGTGGAACTCTTTGATCTCGTGTTCAACAGTGGTGAAGAGAAAGCACAGTTCTTTCAAAAGAATTATTGAAAGATTAAGTTTATAATGAAATGCAAAACAAGGTTTGTCAAATGAAGGTTGTTAATGAGTGTGCAGAGAGAGGCGAAAAACAGTTCCTTTTTTGGTTGGTGGATGAGCACTTGAAAGAATTTCCAAAAGCATCCAAAACTGCTCTAATGATGATGAAGCTGACTAATCCCAATTAATAAAAATACAAATGAAACATTGAATATGATCTACTACTCCCAACTAATAAAAACAAATGAACATGATCTACATTGTTAAACGATTTATATTATATATATATATATATATATATATATATATATATATATATATATATATATATATATATATATATATATATATATATATATATATATATATTAGACACACACACAAAGAAACTTCTTAGATGCATAAAATTATTTAAAATAAGTTTTTTTTGTTGGGTTATAATCCTCAGCAGGAATAAAAGGTATTTAAATACTTTGTAATGTAAAATTATAAAATATATATTACTTTTCAACTTGTTTCATTCTATAGAATAAAATAGAATTATAATAATTTTCTAAGTGTGAGAAAACAAGTTCTATTGCATTTCTTCTTAATGTGAGAAAACTATTCTATCTCTTCTTTGTGTAAGAAAACAAGTTCTGTCTCATCTCTTCTTTGTGCGAGAAAACAAGTTCTAACGCATCTCTTTTTTTGTAAGAAAACTATTTTATTGCATCTCTTTTTTATGCGAGAAAACAAGTTCTATCTCATCTCTTCTTTGTGTGAGAAAACAGGTTCT